CCCCCCCCCCCCCCCGACTCCTCGCAAACTACCTACTCTTAACATGATACACACTAGATAAGTTGGACTACAATTCTTGGAATTCCAGTTGTCCTGGCCAGCAACACTAGCTGGGGAAAATTGCCTTAAGCACCCCTAATGTAAGAATGAAAAGTCAGATTAAATCAGATTTTAGCATCGAATGCATCATTATCCCACAAAGAAGGTTTGTGCTTCAGCTGAGTTGAGCAAATTTTCTTTATAGATCAACCTGTTGCATGGCTTTAAATTGATTTAGCAACATTTGACTGAATCAACATGATTCGAAACTTATACTGAAGGCAGAAAGAGATCAGAGTTTGCTCAAAACGGCTTAGCCACCGTTATTTTTATTAATTGTATAGGCGCATAACTACTATTATTTTAACCCATACTTGCCCATATCATAACTGGAGATTATGAGGCGCATAACTAGAGATGCCCTAAAGTTTGATACAAACTAGATACAGTATAAGGAAGCTGTAATTACGACTTCAAATTCCAATTGATTTCCCCAGTGAGCGATTTAAAGGCATGGGTAGGTTGGAGAAGAGATGTGAACGACCAGAAAAAATTAAAATGAGAGTGCCGTCCCGCCCCCGCCCCCCTCCCTCGATGAAGCTATATTTCTCCGCCGATGCAAAAGGATTCTTTACATAACAACTGAAACTCCGAAGAAAGCCTAATTGGATTAAGTCCTCTGAAAAGGAGGCGAAAGTTCCTGAATGGGGCAACGCCAAAAGCCCCACTTTCCATGCCATCTGTTGAGCAAGGTCGGGAAAGTGATTCCTGATTAATATTATCTTAATCAATCCCGCTGCCAACTAGCCGGGAACTGTCCCCTTGCCTTTGAGGGCTTGCGCCAGGCTGGCTCGGCGAGGAACTGGGGACCGACATCGGCCCTGGCCCTGCGAGCGGAGCGTCCCGTTCATCCGGCCGGGAAGAAGCTGGAAGGCGGCTAAGCGTGGGCGCCCTAGTGCGGGAGGCATCGCCCGGCGACTGGCTTGGAGGTCCGGGAGCTTCCACGGCGACCGATAACTCGTATAGCTATTGATCACAACGAAGGCGTTGGGGTTTATCCCACCTTGGGGATTTATAGGAAGAAGCCAGGTTGCCCTATTGGGGGTGGAGGCAGCCTGGTCATTCTGCTGAGGAGGTCCCGGGCTTCAACCCCCGTCACTGCACCCCTGGATAAGTTTTACCCCACTCCCATCGCCCCTTTTCCTGAACATCGCGCTGTTCAAGGATCGCTCGGTACACTTTATTTGTCACAGCAAAAGAGCCTTAAGAAAGCTTCCATTTTAAAGGGGGGAAGCCCTACATAGATCTCTCATTCCTGCTCCCCCCCCCCCCCCGCGCCAGCCGTTTAGTTTTCAAAATTCAAATTTTGACAGGAAACATATCTGGCAGTGTTCAAGTTTCGGATTCCTCGTTCGGGATATTTTTATTTGTTTTGATTTTGACTTTCATTATTTTGGTATACCTTTCCTTTCGATCCTTAGGGTGCCAGATCCTAACAACACTTTCCAAAAACAGGCCAGTTGATGCTCTCATCACTTTTCCCCTCTGAAATATTCTTCTTGCAAACATTCCTTATGGAGATATCCAGAGTGCCATTCGGCGCCCTTTTTAAACCTGCATTTTTTTCTGCTGTTTTGTTATGGGGATCCCCAGAAAGGAGAGCGAGAGCAACAGCACGGCCTAGCTAAAACGTCCACCCTAAAATCTCGAGGTGGGGAGTAGAAAGGAAAAGCTTTTGGAGGCTTTGGGGTAATGGGTGGGGGCCCGATCCTTCAACCCGGGTCACTTGATCTCCCTGCCAGCAGCTTCGTTCTCCTGTGGATTTCTCAGCCAGACACGTTTCTTAGACATCTGTCCAACTATTGCAAACTCTTCCCCATCCCCCGCCCTATATGTTTCTCGAAAAGCCCATTTAGATCTAACTTCCAAATTTCAGTGCAACTTACACCTATAATCCCTCAAACCCCTTCTTGTAGAACATCCCCATTGACTTCCATACAATAGGTCCGAGAAGTCGACAAGCCAAGGAGTAACAGCCTAAGACTGAACGATGATTCTAAAATAAATAGAGAAAAAGTTGCCCTCACTACATCTTTAGATTTAAGCTCCCTCCACCTACCCCCTTCTGCCTCTGCTCAGCACCTGCTGAGATTTTACAGCTTCTGCGCCTAGAGTCCTATCTGGCACCTCCTGCAAGCTAACGGACCTCATTTAGGGTATCCCCGTGGGAACAAAGCAACAATCACTTCTTGCCACTTCACTAGTGCCTCCAACCAGAGAGGCTCCAGATGTGAGGGCTGGATCAGCTGCCACTGGGTAGCAAGAGTGAGGTGAAAGCAACTGATACATCTGGAGTGAGCAGAGACTCCAACAGGAGTAAAGGAAGGGCTGGGGGAAGGATCATAAATACACAAATGAGAAAAGAGAGGGATTAAAGCTGATATTCTAAACATATTTAAGAGCCAAGGCAATTAATAGGATTAATTCCAAGTACAGAGTTTTGCTTTGAGATAGTGGGAGTTGCTTCACAGCAGTATCGGCCTATGATCTTAAGTGAAGATTTGCCCCAAGAATTAACTAGTGCTCCTACTACCATCTTCCTCCTCCTCCTCCTCCTCCTCCTCCTCCTCCTCCTCCTCCT